TTTAGGTTTTTCCCCAATAATTCTAGCATGCATTGTCTCTGATGACCATCTTCTCCAGGTTGCTGGAGTTCTCCTTTCCCATTCCTGCTCCTCAGGAGGCCTCTTGCTCCCTGGCACCCCAAAGCTGCTTTGCCTTCTGTCCTTCACTGTGCAGGGGGGCTTCCCTCCCACAAAGCTTGGGCTGCAGCACCATGTGGCAAGAACTTAATTCTTATAAACACCAGCACAGTGGAGTTCATGGGCGTATTAATTACACCTTCTAACAGTGGGAACCTGGGCTCCCGAGAGGATGAACTATACCATTGCCCATTGGTAACAGAAGCAATCAGAGGCAGTACTTCATTTCTGTCTTGGCATTGCCATTAAAACTCTCTGTGCATAGGTTAGTGACTCTTTGCTCTTCACAGATGCTAGACTCAATGTTTATGATCCCCAAATCCATATGCTGCTATCCTGATCCCTCCCCATGTAACAGAGTTAGTTAGAAAGTGAGGCTATTAGGAGGTGGTTAGGTCCTGATGGTGGAGCCGTAACAAATGGGATTAGTGCCCTTATAAAAGAGAGTGCAGAGAGCTCTCAGACCTTTCTACCATATGTGGACACAGTGAAAAGATGGTAGTCTGTGACCCATGGAGCAGGTCAGGGCAGACACCAAATTTTCAGGTTCTTTGATTTTTGGACTGAATAGTCTCCAAAACTCTGCTGAGAAATAAATTTTTGTTTTAATACACCATCCAGACTATGGTATTGTGTTATAGTAGCTCGAATGAACTGAGATAAGGGAGTTCTATGCCAGGGTGCATACTTAATCCACACCTCCATTGCCCAGCATTCCTGCAATAACTACCACTTCCTGGCCCAGTATTTTACATTCTTGATCAATAATCTGTCGGATAACATCCTGCAAGGTTGGTGTTATTTTCATTTTGCGAATGAGCTCAAGGTTAAGCAGTTGAGCTGTTGTCAAGGCTGCCTGGCTCACTCTGCATGCTTTCTGCCCTCCCATGTCATCCTTGCAGTGTCTAGAGGGCCAGATGTCTCCTAGTCACAAATATAGACAAAAGCAGATGTTTAACATCAGGTGTGTGAGATCCCCAGGGCATCTGTGACTGTGGCCTCTGTCAGCCTGGAGAGCTTTCCAGAGCAAAGCAAGACGGGAGACTGCAGGAGAAAGAGGTTGGCCCATTACATAGCATGCATTGTGTGAAGGTGTTACTGTCTCCAGCTCTGGGAGCACTTTTTCCTGATCATTTGGAGGAATCCACTGGCAGAAGTCATGGTAGCACTGTACCAGGAGCTGATGCTAAACAGTGACTTTGGGGAATGAAAACAGGCAAGGTGTTTCAGAGTCAGTTTCCTAACTGCAGGACTTTTCAGAGCCTTTACTCTATTATTGGATGCTTTTAATCTTTAAAGAGGAGGAATTTAGAATATGTTAATCCCATTTGCATTATATTGTATTTTGCAAAACCTTATCAGTTCTGTGAAACTCCCTGAGAAATACTGGTATGAATCTACTTCTTCTTTTCCCCTTTCCTTCCCTAAATTTCCTCTCCTCCCCAGATATCAACAATGCTGAAAAACACATTGAATCATAAATCCTAATTGAGACTGGATTTTTTTGTATGAGGATGGTTGTGGCCAAGGATGATCAAGCCATTTTCTAATATGTTAACAGCTCTACTAAAAAGCAGGTCTTTGGTATCTCTTAGCCTCAAGATACTATGAGAAGAGAAACCCCATGTCCTCCGGGTTCCCAGGGCATAAACACTAACACAGGCAGAGGAAAGGTACCCCAAAACAGAACCACATCAGTAAAAGTCATGGTAAGGTGTACACTGAAAGCAGCATTTCACTTTGCAAATCCTAGGAAAGTGCTTTTTGGTTGTTTATTTTAAACTGGGAAGGACAGAGAACAAGATCAAGCCAGTATGTCAATCACTTCTTCCCCACCGTAGCTACTGGGTTTTTCAATTTGTGTGTGTGTGCCAAAGTTTGTAAATCACTGAATGCAGACTTTGGGGAATGTTCCAGTTGAGATTATAAACTGCCAGGAACTCTCTGAAATAACTAGCTGGGGTTTGGTGATAGATGGAATGACCTTGAGAGAACTGGGCTGTGAAGAATGGGAGAGATTCTGAAACCTGATGTCATCAGGGGATGTACTGTAGATTCCTTGGTCAATCCCTTCACACCTGGAAAGCTGGGACTGATGAAATTTAAGTTCTTTAGAATTTGAGTTGTAAGTCACAGAAAGGAACTCTAGTGAAAAAGAAACACTTGACTCACAGGCTGTGGGAAGCTCACGGGACTGAAGGAAGAACTAAATGACCACCTTGGGAAGGCAGGGAATGGGGGATCTGGGGTCCCTGGAGTTAGGGGCTTATGTCCTCTTTCATCTTCTCTAGATTCTGCCTAATATTAAGATAGCTCCGTTCTGTTCCAGCTTCCAGAATGAGATTGGCTCATGTAGGTCACAATGCTAACGCCTTCCAAAAAACCAGATCTCGCAACTCTGAGCTTGGCTTCCTACCTGGCAAAGAAAACCTGGGGCCAAAGAGGATCAGCACCACTTCTCTGAGGTGTGGACTCCTTAGTTCTCCAGTCCTCACTGTCCCCCGATGTCCCTGGCCTGTCTCATTTACTATCTTCCTAGTCCTTCCATTGTAGCTAATGATCTCTAATAAGGATGCTGAGCAGGTTTACTCAGTGAAGGAAAAGTCTTGCAGCTTCCAGGGCGGGCTCTGACTACTCAACTGCCACCCAAAGCGACTGCACTAGTAGCCCTCACTTCCAGGAGAGACCAGGAGCTGAGGTGCACTAACCTCCTCCACCACCATTTTATTTGCCCATTACATTTTCCTCACATTAACAGAGCGTGAAATTAAAACATATGGATCCACAGAAACACCTGCCTCTTGTGAACTGGCTTAGGCTGTTAATTATGGCGCCTCAGGAACCTGCCATGTGTTTCGTGCTCTTACGTCCTTCGCAATTTTAATTACGTTTTAATCAAAGCTTTTACATGGCCTATTTTAGGCCTTTCAGTCTAATTATCAGCATTAACAAAATTCTCTTCTTTGTTACTTTGCAGAGCCCTTCCTGGCCATTTATCTTTAAATGATGAGTGTTTATATAAAGGTAGACCTCATGGGCCAGAATTTTAAGTGATCATTAACTGAACTATGATTCTTTTCCTTCTGTCTACGACTGCGATACTTGGATGAAACTAGAATTAGAATCAAGTAAGCATACAAGGCTCAAGTGGTAGAGCTCCTGCCGAGCAAGTGCCAGTCCCTGAGCGCAACTCTAAATACTGCCCCCTGCCCCCACTAAACAAGTATGTGGACTGTGTTGGGGTTTTTGAACAGTAGCAACTTTTCCTGAATTTCTACTTGGGGCTTTATTTTTGAAAATTGTAGAATTTTTATTAAAAGATTAATTTTGTAATTTCATATAATTTTTAGCTCTGGATTTAAAATTGTGTTTTATGAATTTTATTACGAATGACTATGATTTTGCTTTGAAGTATCTCATTGATTTTCAAAGTTTCTTGTGAGGGAGATGCTATAATTTTTAGAAATCAAGTGTTTAACTTTGGTTCGAAGTCAGTTCGGGCCTTCTCCATTCTCTCCCCACCATGGGACAATCACATGGCTTGGTGCAAAAACCGACTGGAGGGACCCCAGCTGGAGGGTACTGCACTGGGGCTTGTCAAGCAGGTCTTCACCAGGTGGTACACGTGGCCAGTCAAAAATATCTCCCTGGCACACCTAGCCAGAGCTGCTCAGCCAGCAACTTATACAGTCACTTGAATCTTTCAAAACGCAGTTGATTACACTAACTGCTGGAAAGTGACACTGTTTGGCCATCAAAGATGCACCACCTGGCAGCAAGAATCTGGACGGCCACACAATGCAGCCGATCAGAACTGAGTGAGGGGGACATCCTCAGCTTTGAAAAGGAAAACCTGCAAGGAGCTCTGTACTCAGACTGAAAAGATATAATGCTGGCTGGCCGCGTTCAACTATGCAAAGACCTGAGCCAGAGACACGGTGCTCACTGTAAGCTCACACCTTCTCCCAGGTCCCTACGTGTCACCACTTCCGCTAGCCTGGGGCAAGACTCTGCTGCCACCAAAGACTCCTTAGAGCAGAGCTCTTCAAGATGTAGTTCCCAAAGGGGAGAAACTCTAACCCCAAAGCTGCTTCTTACATCCAACAGTCGGTCATCCAGCCACTTCTTTTATATGCGCCCTTGGCACAGATTCTTGACCTGTGCCATTAGTCACACAACTCCTTAGGATGGGAGGTGGTGGTTGTAGAATTCTCTGTACAGGGGTGAGTTACATACAGAACTGGTCCCCAGCCTTGACTGGCAGGGATGCAAACACTCACTGCTCTTGGTGGAGGTCCATGCATGAAGCCACTCATCTCAAGTCTGAATTCCACTTAGCTCTAGGCATGCTAAATTGTAGCTCTGTGTTTCAAACCCATTTCAGAAATGTGCCTAGAGAAGGCGAAAGCTCACATATGAGTCTTTGCTTCTGAGCTCAGTGCCTGGGATGACCTAGGGACAGAGCTGGCTTTAGGCCTTGCTAAAAAAACCAGCATCGTGACTCTGAATGACTTTCGCCCTACTGACAGCCAACACCAACTCTTCCAGATGGGAGGTTTTATTATGTATTACAACCATGAACACAGAGGAAGGCAGTTGCCACAGCAAACGTTTCAGATAGAGGTATAGGTCGAGCTGCCCGCTTGATCCTTGTAGCCTCCTTCCGTGTGTCTCTCAGAGATTGTTCTTGGTGTCCTAACCTTGCAAAAATATTGAAAGGAGACATTGAGAGAGGCAAGAACACCACGGGCCAAAATAGAAGCAGATAAAGGGGAACTCTGAGAAACTGATGAGAAACACACTAGAGAAAACCTTTTCCACTGTGTTATGAAATTGGGGTAGAAGAGCGTGCAGGGCTCAGTGTCCATCCTCTTGGACTGGTGTCATACGGGGCCCTCACTGATCCCCTCCAGAGGCATGCCGGGGGCGTTGTCAGCCGTGGGTCTCTCCTCCTTCTTCAGCGTGGTGGGGACTCGGAGGCTGACGTACGGCTTATGACATGCTGTGTTGGCCAGAGGAGGGTAGTGCTGTCTGTAGCAAAGGTAAGCAAATATGAGCCCAATCACTCCACCAACGAAAGAATCTAGGCAGAGAACACAAACGGGGAAACCTGTTAGTCTTCCTTCATATGCGGGCAGTTCCATTTTCCAGAAAGCAATCTTCCCACCTGCCCTAGGAACTGATTTGCTTCTAGGAACCCCTGGAAGACCAAAGGAAAGAAAGAAAGCATGCTCAAGTTACAAATCCTGGTGGCCTCTGATGACTGTCACTTCAGTGTTAAAAACCAAACACTCAATTCCTTCTTCCTTTTATTTGTTTAATTCATGCCTGAGCAGTGCATGAGCTCAGACTTATATTTCTGATTTTTAAAATCAATTTTAAACTTTGGAAGAACTCCAGCCATATATTGCATCTGAACACCCTCAGGGGCTATGATTTCTTTCTCAGGCAAATCTCACCAGAGCCCTGTGGTCCTGCTGCTGCACTGTAAAAAACCAAGCAGGTGCACTGGTCTCTGCCTGGAGGTAAGCAGTTTCCCAGGGATGAGATGAACCTGAGTCACAAAATGAATAAAACACTTAAACTCAGCAGACCTCTGCAGTAAGGGGCCCAGTTCCCCCAGCGAGCTGCTGATCTCATGAAGTTGAGGAGGTGATGAAGACAGATGAGGCAGGAAGGCACACTTGCGTGCAAGACAAGTCCCTCCACCAAGGGACAGCCCCACACCAAACGGAGCTCAGCTTATGCCCAATAGAGAAAGACCCTATGCAATGGACCACACCAACAGCTCTCACTATTTGCATGCATGTGTGCTCTAAACTGTCTCCATGGATTTGTTTTTGTCAAAATGCCCTACCACAATGGGAACCCTCCCCTAGCAAAGAAACTTCAAACACCTGCTAAGGTCACTGCCATGCTTGAACTTCCCTTCTCTGGGTGCTTCCACTTTTGCATTTACTGTCCTGTTTGTTGAACCGTGAAAACTTCCTTTAGGCAGGTAGCATCAGCCTCGCTTTGCCCAGTAGAAGTGAGCTTGAACCCTGGTGTCCTGATTATGTGGTCTGCACTGGTCTAGGGTGCTGTGCTAGACTCTGATAGGCTCATTTCAGGCTGGATAACCACATGACTTGCTGAGGTCCCAGCCTTCTGAATGCAGGGGGCATACGGGCTGAGGGAGTGGTCCACCTGGGCTCAGGAGAGGGGAAACTGTGCTTCCCAGAGGATCAGTGCTCAGGGTGGTACAGTCCCAACATTTCCCGGGAAGCTGCGCACTGTGTAGAGACCTCACTGTAAATTACAAGCTAATTCCCTGTGTCTTCTGGGAAAATTTGGAAAGGATGTCAAAGAAATGTATCATTTCAGAAAACAAACTGCTCAGTGCTTAGACTGCTGCAACATATTTACCATTCATTTGTTTTTATTTTATAGGTATCTAGGCTCCATCTAGATCGATCAGAATAATTTTGGGGGATGGAGGCAAGATTTTTGTATTTTATTATCTTTCAGAGAACCACTTCTAACTTCAGCACTTCTCGTAGGCTAATAGAAAAATCCATTCCATCACACATAGCTTTAAAGTTCTTTTAAATAAATGTAGCAATTTAGTGCATGTAATTTTATTGATGTACAATGGAGAAACAGGTAAAAAGGCACTTAAAAGATAAACAAGTAACAATGAAAGAAAAGCCGTCATAGATATTTTTGTGATGACAGCATGAACGTTAGTGCGGGCAGCCAAGTGTGCAGATGCTGCCCTGTGACCAGGGTCTGCACAAAGCAGCTAGTGATGCTGGTTCAAGTGCAAATAGATAAAGCCACTCTCCTGCTTGGTGGAATTGTTGCCACTACACCTAGAGAACCAACAATTCCCGGTATCATTCCAGGATGCTTGCCTGGCCGTCATACATCCTAGCCACTTCTTCATTCACAGTCCTCCTATCTGTCCCTCAAACACACTGGCTTCTTCCCCTTTCAGGGCTCCCCGTGTGCTGATCCCATCCTGCACTCTTGGAAATCCCTTTTTCTCATCCTTCCCCTGTTCAACTTCTAGTCACATTTCAGTGCTTAACTCAATCTCCTGTGCAAAAAAGCCTTGTCTGACCTCTGCTCTTGACAAGCTCTCCAGAGTTGGTCAGCCCCTCTCCACTCCTTCTGCCATCAGAGTGGCAATAATGACAAACTGTACAACTGTGAATCATTTAATGCTGGACTCAGAACTCTATGAGGACAGACGCTGCGTCTGTCTTGGCTGCGAATCCTTCCTCACCAAGCCAACACCTTGCTCACAGCAGAATTAAGTTTGTTGAGGGAAAAGGATGCACAGTAACTTAGAAGTTAGATTCAGCTGCCATCTTAGCCCCTTTCCGTTTCTGGTCCTCTGTCACCTCATCAGTAACATCAGAGCATGAGACAAGGCCTTCCTGTGGTTATGTTCCAGGAAGGTCGTCCTCTGGGTCGGCCACCTGAGACCAGGTATCAAGATTATTTGGGTACTTTGCCACAGCACACTTAGAAAATAGATCCATCCTTGTCTGGGACTAAACATCACTTGGAAACAAAAGTCAATCTAACTGGGCAAAGGAAGAGACTGAGTAATTGTCACCATTTCCTCCCTATAGGAGTTCAAATCTAAACAATGGATAGACTGCAGTAGTGTGGCTGTATGGCTGCCCTCTGGCAGAAAGGCCAGGAATATATTTGAGCATTGGCTCTGGTAAACAGCCAGTGGGAAGGGCACAGGCTCTGAGAGACACCAGTGTAATTAGGAGGTGGTGGGCTGCTGCTGCCCACCAAAAGAGAAAGTTGCTGTGCAGAGGCACCAGGGACATGGTAAGCACTCAGCACCTACCCTTGCCCAGAACCAAGAATCTCCATGCTGAGGAGCCCCCAGGCTGAGACCTACAGCCAATGTCAGGCGGGTCACTTCACCTCTCTGACTTTGTTTCCTTACCTAGCAAATGGCAATCTCAATATCCACTGCACTGAGTTGTGCTCGTTTACTATTTGAACTCAGGGCCTCATGCTTATTAGGCAGGTGCCCTATCACTTGGGCTTTGTTTGCTATAAAGGTGGTGAGTAAGACCCAAGACACAGCTTGCACTGTGAGGGAGTTTGCCATCAAGGGGCTTAGGTGGGCTATTCCTATCTTAATTAACTCATATTCACATCCTGCTGAGAGAATAGCAGACAGTGGACAAGCAGGCCTTATTGGGCAAAGGCCACTTGGGATTGACTTCACTCCAAATATGGCAGCCTGTGACTGCAGGGCTCAAAATAGAAATAAACAGTTCTCAATGTCCCTAGAATACTAAAGGCTGCTGTGTCATTACTGTGTACCTATGTCATCCTTTCAATACACGTGTACTGCATGTCAGGTATCAGGCATGAGGGTCAGGCGGAGGACACTAGGCTGACCCTGCCATCCCAGAGTTTACAGTCCTAAGGAGCACAATGGCCACTGCCAGCTCAGCAGCGAGTCATAGGTAAGCAACTCAAAGAAGTGTGCATGATCTGGCCCAGCACAGTGCCCTGAGCTAGTCTGGAGCAGGGGTTCTGCTGCAGGGGTTCTTCAGGCATGTCCTGAAGGATGAGCAAACATCAACAAGGAGAAGTGGGGATCTGGAGGCAAGGAGAGAAGCTGCAGTTTTCCTTGCAGTGGGAAGAGTATGCCTGAAGCCGCCCAGAAAGGTAAGAAGGGGCATGGCAGATTTGAGAAACTGAAGGTAGGCCCATCCTCTAACAAGGGGGTTTGAGACTGTGGGATACCAGGCGATGGGCCACCTAGTGTGGGATGGAGAACATTTTCCCCAATCCTTGCCACCGCCTGTGCACCCCACAGCCTCATACCCACTACTCGGTGTTACATCTGTCTCCCCACTAGCACCCTGGACTGCTTCTTTCATATTTGCTTCTGCTCAGCAGTTTTATTGGGTAAATGTCTGGTGAACTAAATACACTGAATAAATCCACAAGATGCAAGAAGGAATCAACACCACCCCCCCCCAGCCACTAAAGGCCACCTACTGCATGGCTCCAATTACATGCAACGTCCAGAACAGGAAACCAACACAGACAGAAAGATTCGTGGTTGCCAGGGCTGGAGGAAATGAGAATGAGGAGTGACTGCTAACAGGTTTGGGATCATATAGGGGTATAAAAGATGTTCTGAAATTAGATAGTGATGAAGGTTTTACAACTCTGAATATATTTAAAAAATTAACCTGTACGCTTTTTAAAAAGGAGACTTTTATGGTGGCAAATTATATCAATAAAGCTGTTCTTTATTAAAAAGCAAAAGGAGAGGTGGGGAACCAACACCAGATGGCCTCCAATGGCACTGAAGTGACTATGAACCAACCTGGAAATCAATCTTTGCCTATAAAACAGGCACAAACCCAACCCCTACTTATGAGGTCAAAGGACAGGAAAGGAATTCACATGGTCTGCCATACCACATGTAAGGCTATGCTACCTACTTGGAAAAACAAGCACAAGGGATCCTAAAGGAGAGCTGTCAAGTCCCCAGGAGGAAGGCAACCCTTGCTGTCACCATGGTGACACCCAGCATCACTAAGATGGCTTGACTCAGGACCTGTATGCCTTGGGTTTCATGACCCAAGACACCAGAGCAAAATTCAATTCTGGTAGACTCATGTGCTTTTAAAGGGGGTTCTTTTTATTCTTTCCAGAGATTTTACTACTACTGAGTCTTCCTGTTCTTGTGACTAAGTTTCTACAAAGGACTTACACAGCACAGAGGATACATGAGCTATCTCACACATGGTGGGTGGGCAGAGCAGCAGCCATGGCTGCCTGACTCATGCAGGTACAAAGAAGCATTAATGAGTGAGTGAGTGAATAGATATTTAAAGGGTAATTTTTAAAATTTTACTTTTAAAGGGAAAGAACTCATAGAGAATATGACTTGCTATATTAAAACTAGTTGTATGATCCTGGAAAAAAACAGGGCTTGAGCATCAAATGACATCTTCCTAAAATGCCCCCTTTCTGTCCCCAATGCTCTAGCCAAGAGAAGGCAGCAATGGAAGTTGGCCAGAGGGGACAAAACGGAGAATTCAGATG